AGCGAGCCGAAGCGAGTCATGTCGCTTGATCCCACCATGGCGAAGATGGCGGGAAGGTGGGCCATCCGATGACCAAAAGCGTGAACGTACGGCGTCCCCCCCACGGACGGCGTCAACTGTCGGTGCAGAAAGTGACCAACACGTAAAAATTTGTAGTTTTGTTGTACGTTGTGATCGGATGTGGCCTAGCACTCAATGACACAGGTTTTATACTGGTTCAGGCAACGTGCCCAACATCCAGTTTTAGTCGGTCGGCGACTTTTATTCCTGAGCCTAGGTGCTCGAAGTTTGCTGTGGGGTTACAAACGAGAGGGAGTAAGATAGGGGTGCAAGAAGTCCGGTCAAACTCTGGACCGAAGGGCCGAGAGAGACGGGAGCTCCTACGTGCGCTAAGTATTTGAGCGTGTGCTCTGTTGGAATCGTTCGAATCGTAGGTTGTTCGACTCTGTGAATCGATCGTGTATCGATCCTGGTGGTCGAATCGTCCTTATTGGGAGAGAGCGCATCCCCTTTTATAGATGAAGGGGACGACCTTATAAGTGAGTGAGAGAGAGAGTGTGTACGTATGATACTAAGTCTTGTTGCCCACGCCGTCGGCTACAAGATGATTGTAGGCGCCCACAATACTGTTGACGCCCAGACGTATGTGGTAGGCTCCATCGTGTTTGTCATGTATGGCAAATGACGGCACCCACAACACTGTTGATGCATAGAGGTATGTGGGGGGTTTTATCGTGTTCATCTGGTATGGGAGTTGAGGGCGCCCACAACACTATAGGGCAAATGTCGATGCCCACAACACTGCTTGGGTTCTGTCATGCCTGGAAGGTGGCAGGGCACCCTTCTGACATGCCATGTCGGTACTGTGCTGCAGGTGTACAGGGTACGACCCTTGGTATTGCGGTTTTGACTTGAGTGCCCTGCCTTACTTGCTCCGCCTATTTCCTGGGTTCTCACCGAGCGGGCGTCCCCGGTCGGTTGGTCCCAGTCAGCTCCGACTGCGCCAGTAGGAGAAGAGCTGTAAGCAGAGGTTCGGTGCATCCCTGGTCGAAGACGCGGGTCGAAGTCAGAAGCGAGCGCCGTTCCTCCTTGGCCAGGCCTTCCGGTCGGAGAGACGGGTCAGAGTCGGAAGCGAGCACCGGTCGGAGAGGCGGGCCGGAGTCGGAGGCGAGCGTCGTTCCTCCTTGGCCAAGCCTTCCGATCGAAGAGGCGGGCCGGAGTCAGAAGCGAGTGGTCGAAGAGGCGGGCCGGAGTCGGAATCGAGCGTCGTTCCTTCTTGGCCAGGCCTTCCGGTCGGAGAGACGGGCCGGAGTCAGAAGCGAGCGTTGTTCCTCCTTGGCCAGGCCTTCCGGTCTCAGAGGCGGGCCGGAGTCAGAAGTGAGCGTCATCCTTTCTTTGGCCAAGTCTTCCGGTTTTTTGACCGGCCCAGGAGTTGCGCGTCGTTCGCAACGTCGTTTGTTGGGCCGAGCTTTTGCTGGGAAGCAGGTCCATAAGGGACCCCGGTTTTATGAACCCGACACTATTTGATTCCCATATTGTTTGTGGTGAGCTATAGCGTATTTTCATTTGTCTTAACTCAACCTACGTCAAGTTTGACTAAAATTATAAGAAAACATACTGACTTCTACCACATCAAAAAAAATACATTCACGTGCACCGGGGATAGCAGGGTATTGAAGAGAGAGAGGAGATATGGACACTTGAATTAATTGCGGGAAAGAGTATATAAACAGTGTTTTTCATTTCTCTAAGCTTTATATCACCTAACTACGATGTCTGGTCCATCAGAACATCTTAAAACTAATAGTAATGAAATAAGAGATAGATTGACGGTGGTTATCAATGGTTTAAACAATTTATGCCCAAATGGTCCGATGGCTTAATTTTTCGTCACCACCCTCTAGATTCCTTCATTCACAAATCTAATATTGAACGGGTTGGTGCAAACCAAAATATTGTGTAAGTAGCGTAAATAATTCATATATCCAAGATAAACAATGTCAAGAAACACCCGTATTGCAATGCACAAATATGCGAAATGCTTGGCGATCCATAGATCAGATAAACGAAACTTTTTTTTTCTTGAGAACTAGGAGTATTCTACACTTTATGTTTCTGGCTTTCTGCCGATTGCATGCATGCATGCCATTCGCCTGAATGGATGAATTGTCAACGAGCTGCCGGCAGCTGCTACTCAGCTAATGCTAGCGCGGAACCATTTGATTGGCCCTTGCACCACACACACTCAGCGCTTGTAATTCGGAATCCCCTCCCATAGGGATCAAAGTGCACGAGACAAAGTTTGACTTTGGGCCCGTTCGCTTGTCTGAATTCTGGAGGAATCTGGATGGTTTGGAGGAATGTCGGAGGAATTTATGAGAGAAAAACACTATTCCGAATGAAAAAATAAACGGATCAAACTCAGGTTTAAGGGCACGCGAACGGAGCCAAAGGGGATTTATTTCTCTTCAATTGTTTTCAATCGTCTTTAATTCATCTTCAATCCCCAGCAAATCTAAATAAAGTCTGAGGTGCTTGAATCTTATATGACTAAAATTAGTTCTTAATTTTGGATGTCAAACCGGAGGGCTAATCGCGAGCCACTGCTCATATTTAGCTTACTTTCACACCATAATAGGCTATTTTTTTGGTCCTGACATCAAACAACCTTCGGTGTGTAAACCATGTACGGAGTACTGTGCTGTAAACATTGTGCTACAAACAAGAATGATATTTATTTATTTCACTGGTCTCATGTAAGCTAGCATCACATATGCAGCTCGCACACGCCATCGAAGCATGCAGGTTGGCTCTACTGCACACTCATTCACCGTCTGTCCGTGGCACGGCGCGCCCGAGATGGAACATCCTCCATTCCTCCCAGCCCAGCGAGCGTAGCAGACGCAGTAGCCGAGTAGACCCCCCCTGGTAGGCCTGCCGCTACACCGTACGGAGTACAGCACTACTGATCGTCGGTGGGTCGTGATGAAGTCATGATGACCCGACGCCTAGAACAGAAAGTCTACCGGCCTATCGACCGTGCACGACACCGCAGCTGCGCTGCGCACCCGCCCCGTACGCGGCGCGTCACTGCGTTCTGAGGTCTCGCTCCTCGCCTGCACTGCACCGCACCAGCGTCACTGCGGCGACCCTCGAGCCCGCGACAGTACCCCAAACACAGTTTACTAGCTTCCACGCGCCGGTACCCCAAACACCCGTGAAAATTTTAACCTCTTGTTCGTTTCAGCTTATTTGACTTATAAGCCATAGCTAAAAATACTTTTACTGATTTGGTATGAGAAAAAAATATTGTTTGTTGACTAATAAACCCTAACTTATAAGTCAAATACGACCCAGCGGAACAGACTGTAAACCCGTGCCTCCGTTGCTCCAGAGTTCGGTTGGTAGCCCTAGCCAAGTCCGGGCCGTAACCCAACCGTAAGTAACCGTGGTTATTTTGTTTTGTTTATTAACCGCGCCGGCACACACACCCCCGTTCGGCCTCGGCATCGTTCCTGGGCACTGTTCCCACGGCCGACCTGCGGCCTGGACGTGCCCCGTTACGTCGGGCTCACGCCGGTCCGCTTCCTGCGCCGCGAGTGACATGCGGGACCGTGTCGTCTGTCGTCTCGGCGCGCGGGCGGGGGCGCGGCGAGCCCAACGCCGCTGGCCCGGCCAGTTTCAAAACGCGACGCTGTCGCTGCGGACGTGGCCCTGGCCTCTCTCCCTCGGGGTCGGGGAGCTGCGTTGCCCGCGTGCGCGCGCCCTGTGTGACCTGTGTGGCGCCTGCCGCCTGGGCCTGGCTAGACCGGGGCCGGTTCGTTGTTTGCTCGGAGTCTAGGAGTTGGACGCATGTGGAGCAGCAGCGCCGGCCAGCAACCAGCCGGCAAGCCGGTTTTGAATTGGCGACCAGGGGAGGGTATGACAGCAACAGCAAGCCTGCGACCTGCGAGCGCAGGGCAGCTACGCAGGGGGGCCGTCAATTGTACGTCAGTGACAGGGGCATACAGCCAATCCATGCCGCAGGCAGGCAGGGCAGGGGTTTGTTCAAGCCGAAATTTGAAGTTATACCTTGTACGTACGGAGTACGTCGACTCGTCGAGCCGCCGTGACCCGGCTCGTCGGAGATCAGACGATCGGAGGCTCCCAGCAGCGACCCACGACAAGCCTATAGAGAGAAGATTGGACTGGACGCTTGGTGCTAGTAGTTTCGTCACTTGCCACAAGTACTAGGCGCCATGTGTCATGTGTGTGCTCTCTGCTCTGACTTGTGAGGAACAAAATTGTGTAGTAGTGGATTCTGAGTACTGTCCTGGTAAGCAATTTTTAAGATATTTGCTTTTTAATTTTTTTATATATAGGATTTCAAACTTTTTTAAGGACAAAATTCGTTACTCTCTGCACGAGAGAGGATTGCATGTTGCAACATGTTTTGTTCAGCTTCTTTCCTCATGCATGCAAGCAAGTACATGTGTACAAAACCACAGAGCGCAGCCAGCCCTTCACTTACAGGTAGTACTGCTGAGTCTTCTGCATTCGGACACACGTGTTTGTACGCCTTCGTCGGTGTTCAAACCAATTTACACGACCATCCTGTCATTCCCTGTAAAAAGAGCAAAGCCGTATATATGCTAGTGCTGCCAAGGAATTTCAAAAATCAAGACCCTGCTCATTGGTAAGCATTAAGATCCACTAAACCACTATTTTGGATGTACATATATATTCACCTCAATTTGGATGTACATATATATTCACCTCAATTATACGTGCATCCAAACAAGTCGTAAGTACTTTACCCTCACGTTGAGAAGTTAAACACATAATGCACCTTCCTCTTGTTCTGGACTTTTCCCTTGAAAAAGTCATGTGTTTTCTGCCTTGTTACACCCAAACGCTTCTTTTAAATCTGGCGTTCTAAGTTTCTGTAGGACTCCAAATTTCGGGTCATGCTAATCTTGCGTTTTCACTACTACTGCATTTTAACATGTACTCCTATGCTACTACATTTCTGCACTGCAAAAAGGGACGTTATACCCAAATTGTACAACTGTGGCGTTCGTATAAGAACATGTAGCGTATCTTCCTTCTCCAACCAAATAAATATCTTGCATCAATATACCATCACAATGCAGAGCGCCACTGCAAATAAAATTGATGGCGACTTTTGAAGCACTAGTTCCATGTATGTTTCTGTAGCGTATATTGCGTACGGCAACCGCCGATCCCTACACGGTGCAATGCACAAAACGTCATAAACATGTTTATTTTCTAGAGATCTGATGAAGCAACAAAGAGATTTGGATCCATTGTAGGGGATAATACCTGTTCATGACAAGGTCTTTTGGAGTCACAGTAGTTCTGATCGATAATTATTGGGTTAGTAACGTTGTGCATTGATATATCTTGGAAGCTAATTCTTTCAGCATAGCCATGTCCTCCCTGTTAACGAAGTTATAAGAAGCATTGTTAGAAAAAAAAATGTTTCATAACAAAAGCTACAGTCTACAGTCTACAGGGCTTGTAGGAAACAAAGAAACAGGGGACTGCGAAAACAGAGGGAACAGAAGGTTATGGAGTCGTACGGCCCTTTTGGGAGCAACACTTTTCCTCAAAATTCAAAAAAGGGCTGGAAGTGTCCAAGTTTCCATGCCACTCAAGCGAGAAGATCATGCATTACCTGCCAAGTTTTGATCCTAACACCGTTGGTAGTGCCCAGCAGCGTGGCTTTCTCAACGAGGACGTCAGAGACATGGGCCCAAGAGTTGTTTGCTCCTAGACTACCAATGCTGTAGCAGCAAGCAAACAACGCCAGGAAAGCATCAGAATTCAGAAACTCAGAACCCAATGTACAGCTTGTGGCCATGTCTTTACAAATGCCAAATTTGAAACATGAAATGCCTATATATATGTAAACATTGGATGTGGTATCGTCAGAACATCTGCAACTCCAAATTTCATTGTGTGGCAAATCGTGTAGCAGCATCTAGATTCTTTTTTTTTAGATTAGCACCATCCACTCTACTACTAGCATATATTTGCAGTTGTGTACGGCTACCTTATTCCATGGCCCGGTCCGCAAAATATGCTGGTTACCCGTACAAACATTGAGCCAGTCACAATGGATATACAGTCATCACCTGCATCAACACAGAAGCGAGAGAAAAAAAAACTCAGCCTACGCTTTCTGTAACCAGAAAAGTACGAGTGCTGGCCAGATGAATCGCTGCGTGTGTTTTCTATGCATTGTTCACGGCACATGATCTCTGCTGTGACCAACTTCTTGAACATATGGATACGTACCCGTGCTGATGGTGCAGTTGCTTATGGACACTTCCCTGCTGTTGGACACATGGATGCCGTCGGTGTTGGGGCTCCACCCGGGCGCAGTGATGAACAGCTTCGACACGACAACGTTCCACGAGTAGGCGATCGCGACGTGCATCTGCATGCTGTCTCTCACCTCCAGCTCCTCCACGACCAGGTGGGTGCACCTCCTGAAGTACAGTGCCTGAAACTCGGCAGCTGAAACCCTTGCCGATGCACATTACATCAACTGAAAGTCTGAAAGTTCTCCGGGTCAGGAAGGTACCGTCGGGCCGGTGACGCATCGCTGATGGATGGACAAACAAAAGATTTACATGTGAGAAAATTTGGAAATGTGCATGACATGTTAAGTAGCGCAAGGAATTTATTTATTCCATCAGTGAGAAGAAAATGGCTGGTTAGGAGTACAATTATTGTATATACCATTGATTTGTTGAGCTTGCACGAGTTGATCCACCACTGCAGCCCGTTGCCATTGAGCGTGCCGCCGCCGAGGACACGGAGGCGATCGATGCCCTCGAAGGTGATCCACTCCTGCAGATTGTGATCCAGCCAGACCGATCGGTTGGACGGCGCCTCCAGCGTTCCCTTTATCTGATCGCTTAATAAAGAACATTACAACCCAATAAACAACGATGAGCTGCTTGTACGTACGTACATTAACGAGCATCAGGCTCGCTCACCATTGCAGTGATAGAGACAGCTCTGCAGGGGCCACGGAAGATCACGGGCATCAGGAGGTAGGACTTGCCCTCGGGCACGAGGAACACGGACCGGTCATCGGAGGAGTTGCAGGCCTCGCTCCACGCCGCGAGAAACGCCTGAAACTCGTGCAGCATCGACATCGATCAGAACTGCAGCCGGAACAAACTGACCGCCGGCGCCGCAAGACGATTGTGTCACCGAGCAATCAAGAGAACAACAACCAACAAAATCAGCTAGCAAATTCACCTCGGTGTCGTCATCGCCGCCGGCATCTCCGGTTGCGTAGTCGTCGACGTCGACGACCCTCGGCGGCGGTCCGGACCTGAGCCACAGCTCGTCTGAATTTTCTGCTGCCGGGCCGTCAGCCTCCGGGAAAACTTCCTCCGAATTGGCGCCGTGGTGTACTAGCATGTAACAACAAAGAACGATCGACATGGCGACGATGGAGGCCAGGGGAAGCCTCGCGGGAGCGGGCCCCATCCGGCGATGGGGAGCTCAGGCGAATGGAGGAGAGGAAGGGACGAGCATTAGCATCCGACTTGTTTGGAGAGAACAAACTCGAACGGCGAGCATAACTCTTGCGTTGCTCACGAGCTCTGCAACTGACAGGCGGGGACCGCTAGTGTGATTTCCTGATAGAGCAAATCTCCAAGTACCATGGTTATACTTGGAGCTCCCGATGACATGTGGGCCCAAGAGCTAGTCTTCTGGGCCCCCGCCTGTCGTTACTGTCTCAGTTTGGATGTGTAGACGTTGTTTCAGCCTTCTTCGGGAATAGTTTGGAAATTGCTAGTTTTTTCGAAAGGAATTTTAGGATACAAAATCGATCAGTTCCTTTTTCTGGCTCACAATTAGGAGTAACTTTTTTTTACGAGGAGGCTCTAAATAACTAGCAGTCCTCGTGGAAGCATAAGCGCATGGGTTAATTTTTTTTACTACCTCTCATTTCTTTTAGATACTTGCCTTACACATTTTTTTAGGAACACCTTGCCTTACACATGATCCTTACGTCTCCTTTTGGGCTGGTGGCCCATTATCCCTACGTTACGTCCATGAACTATTTGGGCCGTAAGTAATATCATCTCGTTTTCAGAATGGCCCACGAACAGGAGAGCATGCGGAGGAGGTGCAAGTGGAAAATACCTGTTGCCCACGTCAACGCTGATCGTCGTGACGTCGTCCACCGCCGTCGTACGTAGGAGTAGCACGGAGCGCCGAACTCCGTTGCCCAAAGCAAGGCTCGAGCTCAGTATAGCTTCCGTCCAGCTAGCGTAGAAGAAATCATTGGGACGCAAGAGCAAGATTTCCTCCATCCATCCAGCGCCGCCCTTACCCTTACCCTTATCATGAGCGGGCCTTTCTGCATGCTTTCTTTCGGCAAATCGCTGCCATCTCTGAATAACCCAACACTGTAAAAAGTGTCCGTTACTTTTTTGACGCGGACGTGAAGGAGGCTACTGTACGTACTAATAGTGCTGATAACATGGGCGGAGCTATACTGACTCTGTGGGCACCCATAAAAATTTTGAAAAACAATGATAAGATCCAAATTTCCACTATATATGCACTCACACATTGCAAACCCTCGCATCCACAAAGACAACCGCATCCCTCTCAGATTTGCTCTAGCTCCATCACTGGCTGATAAACATTTCCTGCACAACATAACACGACGATGGAATTGCTTTTTCTTCTCTTAAAGCTGTACGTACACCGCCTTAAAAAATTTCCCGGCATATCCTCGTTCGCTTATGCGCTAGATGTCACCTCCCATCACGCTTTTTTCTGCATTCGATGAACATTGAACAACTAGCAAGTGTAAAGAGCAATCGAGAACATGGACAGCCGGTAGTCCATCGCGTGGTTTGAACAAACTAGTCCACCGGATGGCCTGAAGAAACAAACCCATCTCATCATCGATCACTACATACAGGAACGAACACTGTGAAACTTGGAAAGGGAAATTCCCGCACTTGGCCAATACGCACATTAAAGCCCCGGCCATAGAGGTGGGACTTGGGCCGGGCCGGGCCGGCACGGCACGGCCCTCTCGTGCTTCGTGCAGCTTCGGGGCGTGCCCTCTAGGCACGGGAGGCGCGTCATGCCATGCCGATATGGCACGGTAAATCTTTTCTTTGGCCCAAACACGGCCCGTGGCACGTCGGCATGCCTTCGGGTCGTGCCGGCCCAAGCACGGCGCTCAAAATGTATCTGCCAATTTTCTTTTGTCCGCTCGTGATATGAAATATATATATCTTGTGTGTACTATTTTAATGAAAGTTTTAATTATTTTCATAATCTATTCAAGAATTAGATGAGAGATAGTATAGTAAATGATAGAAAATTGCATTGTATAGTTGTAGAAGTGTCTGCGTGTCATTTTCGTGCCGTGCCAGTCCAAGCACGGCCCAAAATACAGTTCGGGCCATTTAACTCGCCGTGCCGAGATCCTAGACACGGCACGGCCCTCGTGTGCATATCGTGCCGGCACGGCCCAAAACATTTCGTGCCGTGCCGTGCTTCGAGTCGTGCCAAAAGACCGTACCATGACCCGCCCTCAAATGGCACGGCCCAAGTCCCAGCTCTACCCAGCCATGTCATAGGGAAAGAGTTGATACGAACACTTACATTTTCTTTTGGTGGCATGGTTTATGCAGGAGTTGGAAATGTTAGGAGAGAAGGTTGGACATTCACACATAGGCCTTTCTCTAAATCTCTAAGCATGTGGGATTAGTTGTAATGGTAGGTCGTGCAGCTAGCCGTTGAACTGGCCGGCAGCATGAATGGTGCCGCCTCGCTCCGCCTAAAGTGAGCACGCATATGCATATTTGTTATTACTACTAGCATGTACACAGCAACCATTCAGGCTGGCCAAATGAAAGGCAATAATAATCACCGCAGCAACTTATCAAAAGCGATGGAGTTCTCCCCAACTCTGTTGATGCAGAAAGTGATCAACACTTAAATATTTATAATTTTGTTGTACGTTGTGATCGGATATGATCTAGCATTCAATGACGCGGGGGTTTATACTGGTTCAGACAACGTGCCCTACGTCCAGTTTGAGTCGGTCGGTGACTTTATTCCCGAGTCCAGGTGCTCGAAGTTTGTTGTGGGGTTACAAATGAGATGGAGTAAGCTGGGGGTGCAAGAGGTCCGGTCGGACTCTGGACCGAAGGGCCGAGAGAGACGAGAGCTCCTACGTGCGCTAAGTATTTGAGCGTGTGTTCTGTTGGAATCGATCGATGGGTGGTCGAATCGTTCGTGAATCGATCCTGGTGGTCCAATCGTTCGTCCCCTTTTTAGAGAGAGCGCATCCCCTTTTATAGATAAAGGGGGCGGCTTTACAAGAGGGAGTGTGAGAGAAAGAGTGAGTGTGTGCTATCCAGTCTTGTTGCCCACGTCGTCGGGTATCAGGCGGTTTGTCGGCGCCCATAACACATTTGATGTTCAGATGCATGTGGTAGGTTCCATCATCTTCTTTTGGTATGGCAGATGTCGGCGCCTACCATACTGTAGGATAAATGTTGGCGCCCACAATATTGTTCATGTTCTGACATGTCTGGGAAGTTGCAGTGCATCCTTCTAACATGGCCTGACAGTACTGTCCTACAGGTGTGCAGGGTATGGCCCTTGACATTGCGGTTGACTGGAGCGCCCTACCTTATTTGCTCTGTTCGTTTCCTAGGTCTTCACTGAGTGGGCGTCCACGGTCGGTCGTTCCCCAGTCGGCTCCGGCTTCTAGGTCGGAGAAGAGCTGCAAGCAGAGGTTCGATGTACTCCCGGCCGGAGAAGCGAGTCGGAGGCGGAGGCGAGCGTCGTTCCTTCTCGGGCAGGCCTTCTGGTCGGAGAGACGGGCCAGAGTCGAAGGTGACGGAAACGAGCGCCGTTCCTCCTTGGCCATGCCTTCTGGTCGGAGAGGCGAGTCGGAGTCGGAAGCGAGCGCCGGAGTCGGAGGCGAGCTGGCCAGGCCTTCCAGTCGGAGAGGCGGGCCGGAGTCGGAGGCCAGCGTCGGTCCTCCTTGGCCAGACCTTCCGGTCGGAGAGGCGGGCCGGAGTCGGACGCGAGCGTTGTTCCTCCTTGGCCAGACCTTTCGGTCGGAGACTGGATCGTTCTTCTGGCCTGTCGTTAGGTTTTTGGGCCGGCCCAGGAGTTACGTGTCGCTCGCAACGTTATCTGTTGGACCGAGTTTTTTTTTTTTGCTGGGAAGCAGAACCATGAGAGACCCTGTTTTTTTTTTAACCCTACACCTGGCTCGGCGAGTCGGCGGTGGAGCTTCAACTCCGGCTCGGCGGTGAATAAAAATACCACGGCGTGTGCACCACAATGTCTCCCTGCCACTCCCGTCTCTCTCCCCGTCCCAACTCCCAAGCAAGGCCGTAACCTAACATTCCCACGTACGGGTACGGCTTCGGCTGGCTTCCCACAGGTAGCCTAGACGGAGGTAGTGCTCCCCTCCTCTAGCAGGCCCAATCAGCATTCCGACCCGGAGAGACGAAGCGGGAAACCGGGGGCCGAGAACGACGTGGGCCAGGCTTTCCATTGCCTGCCTCCCTCCAAGCCAGTCAGTGGGCCCCTTCTTTCTTCTTCCCACCTTTAGTTGGCCAAATTTTGGAAATTTGGCTACCGTAGCATTTTCATTTTTATTTGATAATTAGTGTTTAATCATGGACTAATTAGACTCAAAATATTCGTCTCGTAATTTCCAACCAAACTGTGCAATTAATTTTTTTTCGTCTACATTTAATGCTCTATACACGCATCGCAAGATTCGATGTGATAATTACTGTAACGTTTTTTGAAAAAGTTTTTTTTGAACTAAACGAGACCTCAGAGCAAAACAGAAAGGAAACAAAGCTAGCCTAGGTAGTGATAAGTGGAAAGTGGCCTATGACCAAGCAAAAAAATATCTGGAGCGACACAGCACAAGCCAGAAGAAGAGGCCCCGCACATTGTCGCGCTCCGATTGGGATGGCCCCGCCACGCGGCCGGCGAGGCGCCCCAACTGCGCGATGACACGTCGGGGAGGGAGAGGAGCGGGGTGGTCTGGCCGGGGCGGCGACAAGGGCCGGGCTCGTGGAGGCCACGCGGCGCTAGTAAACAAGGCATATCTATTTCTCCGCTATTGCGACTCCGCCTGGACTCCATCCAATTCTGCCAGACAGACTGCGGCGGCCGGGCAGGCGCGCGGGCAGGGAGAGGGAGTGTCAGTGCCAGCGGCACGGCAGCCCAAGAGTCCGCCGGGCCCTCGAGCCGTCGCGCGACCGCAGCCGCAAGTACGCGCGCACCCGCGCACGCCTTCGTCGCCTTTAGCTTTGCCCTTTGCGTCGCGGTGTTGGATGCTGCCCTGCTTTGCTTCTGCCTTTGCATGCCGCCTATTTATAGAGCCACACAACCAGCCAACCCAGCAAGGCAAATGAGCAGCACAGCAGCAGCAGGAGGAGCAAGCAAAGAAGCGGCGGCTGGCCTCCGTACCCCGC